TAGAGTAGAGTAGAGTAGAGTAGAGTAGAGTAGAGTAGAGTAGAGTAGAAATAAAGGAGAATGCTTGTAGCTCAGGGTTAAAATGAGAGCTTCTTGATGCTCTCCACGCTTGCTTTTTTCATGCAGACATCTATCCTCTCGTCTCCTCTTACCCTACCCTACCCTATGCTATTTTTAATATTAATTTTATTTATCTATTTGTCAAACATGTACAAGATAACAAGTATATGTATGAACATAAACAGGAACAAAGGGAGTAAATACAGATAAATGGGGACAGTAAGACAGGGACGGTAGGCACGCTAGTGTGCTTATTCACGCCCCCTTTAAGGACTTCGTTGGAATGGGGTGAGGTCCACAGTAGAAGGTTTGAGTTTGAAGCTGTGAGGGGTTGAGGCTGTAACAACGGAGTTATTCCAGGTCATATTGAAATGAAATCATGTTGACTTCTAATTATTTAATTAAGTTGTGGAGTTCCTCTATTAATTCAGTGCTGTACGGGAGAAAACCATCTCCGGCACATTTTAAGAATGTTTGGAAGTGATGCGTGGGTGCATATTCCGAAAGCAATTAGAAGAAAGGGATAATCAAAGGCTAGAAAGCTCAGGTTTGTGGGCTATGAGCCAGGCTCAAAAAGAGCTATCATTTTAGCATAGAGAGCAAAAGAATAGTGGTTTCAAGGTCTGCAAGCTTTGCAGAGCAAAATTGGAACAGAATTGATGCAAAATTCTGGAATGATTCACTCAGTGTTGGTGATCCACTTAGTGATGGTAACTCACTTAGTGATGGTAACTCAGTGATGATGTCAGCATTCAGGGAGGAGAAGCTGAAAAAGAGATGAAACAGGAGAGGATTGAAGCACAAGAGCAGTCAATGCCACGCTGATCAGAGCGATGGAACAAGGAGATTCCACCCGACAGATACTCTGCTAGTAAAGTTAAAGTGTGTAATGTATGGTATGAGTCAAGGAACTATAAGGAAGTATTGGCATTAGCTAATATTGAACAAGTGAAGTGGAAAGAAGCCATGGACAAGGAAATGGAAGAACATGAAGTGTTCACATCTATGACTTTGCCACAGGGTAGCAAAGCTGTAGGATCCAAGTGGGTATACGAGAAGAAAGAAATGCTCAGTAATGAGGTACAATATAAACCAAGGTTAGTGGCACAAGGGTTTTCACAGATGAGAAATGTGCGCTAATGAGGTATTTGCGCCAACTGTAAAGAGTGAAAGAAACAGGCAGGCACTAGCTTTGCCAGCGGCACATGGCCATAAAATTTGGCATTTTGACATAACCACTGCATTCCTCAATGCAGAATTAGAGGAAGAAATTTACATGGTTCAAGCACCAGGGTATGAAAGTAAAAAGCCTAACACAGTGAATAAATTGAACAAGGCCATTTATGGGCTGAAGCAATCAGCCAGGAATTGGAATATATGTCTAGATAAGGCAATGAAGGGTCTTGGGTTCAAGAATTGCAAGGCTGATGGTTACATTTACACTGGAAAGTTAAAATGTGGGGATTGCCAACTATTAGCATTTGTGGATGATCTTTGTTTCATTGCAAAGGATGTATCACAGTAAAAGGGTTCTCAGGTATTTGAAGAGAACTGTGAATGTGGGTCTTCAAATACCAGTATCAGAAGAATATTAAGTTAATTGGATTTATTTCTATTCCAGTTACGAAGGGAGGAGTGTCAAAATATACTGCTCAAAAAAATAAAGGGAACACAAAAATAAGACATCCTAGACCTGAGTGAATGAAATATTCTTATTAAATACTTTGTTCATTACATAGTTGAATGTGCTGACAACAAAATCACACAAAAATTATCAATGGAAATCAAATTTAGCAACCTATGGAGGTCTGGATTTGGACTTACACTCAAAATAAAAGTGGAAAAAAACACTACAGGCAGATCCAACTTTGATGTAATGTCCTTAAAACAAGTCAAAATGAGGCTCAGTAGTGTGTGTGGACTCCACATGCCTGTATGACCTCCCTACAGTGCCTGGGCATACTCCTGATTAGTTGGCGGATGGTCTCCTGTAGGATTTCCTCCCACACTTGGACAAAGGATCCGCCAACTCCTGGACAGTCTGTGGTGCAACGTGGCATTGGTGGATGGAGCGAGATATGATGACCCAGGTGTGCTCAATTGGATTCAGGTCTGGGGAACGGGCAGGCCAGTCCACAGCATCAATGCCTTCGTCTCGCAGGAACTGCTGACACACTCCAGCCACATGAGGTCTAGCATTGTCGTGCATTAGGAGGAACCCAGGGCCAACCGCACCAGCATATGGTCTCACAAGGGGTCTGAGGATCTCATCTCGGTACCTTATGGCAGTCAGGCTACCTCTGGTGAGCACATGGAGGACTGTGCGACCCCCTAAAGAAATGCCACACCACACCATTACTGATTCACTGCCAAACTGGTCATGCTGGAGGATGTTGCAGGCAGCAAAATGTTCTCCACGGCATCTCCAGACCCTGTCAGGTCTGTCACATGTGCTCAGTGTGAACCTGCTTTCATCTGTGAAGAGCACAGGACGCCAGTGGCAAATTTGCCAATCTTGGTGTTCTTTGGCAAATGCCAAACGTCCTGCACAGTGTTGGGCTGTAAGTACAACCCCCACCTGTGGACGTTGGGCCCTCATACCACCCTCATGGAGTCTGTTTCTGACCATTTGAGCAGCCACATGCACATTTGTGGCCTGCTGGAGGTCATTTTGCAGGGCTCTGGCAGTGCTCCTCCTGTCCCTCCTTGCTCCTCCTGTTGCCTCCTACAGCCTCCTCCACATCTCCTGATGTACTGGCCTGTCTCCTGGTAGCGCCTCCATGCTCTGGACACTACATTGACAGATACACCAAACCTTCTTGCCACAGCTCGCATTGATGTGCCATCCTGGATGAGCTGGACTACCTGAGTCACTTGTATGGGTTGTAGACTCTGTCTCATGCTACCACTAGAGTGAAAGCACCGCCAGCATTCAAAAGTGACCAAACCATCAGCCAGAAAGCATAGGAACTGAGAAGTGGTCTGTGGTCACCACCTGCAGAACCACTCCTTTATTGGGGAAGTCTTGCTAACTGCCTCTGTTTTCCACCTGTTGTCTATTCCATTTGCACAACAGCATGTGAAACTGATTGTTAATCAGTGTTGCTACCTAAGTGGACAGTTTGATTTCACAGAAGTGTGATTGACTTGGAGTTATATTGTGTTGTTTAAGTGTTGCCTTTATTTTTTTGAGCAGTGAATATTCATGAACTGGAATAGAGCTTGGTAACAAAGTCAGCCAAGGAATAGGCATAGCGACAAAGTCAGCAAATGAGGGCTGTTTGGAAACTTAAACTGGAAGGAGCCTAGGCATAGCTCTATATTAAGCTCTGCAGCTCTGAAGCTGCGTTAAGCTCTGAGTCTTGTCTACAAGTGCTGAACTGAAACTGAAACTGAAACTGTTCTCTGCTGTTCTCCTCTGCTTGTGTTTTTTCCTGTAAGTCTCTACCACGTGGGAAGAACCTACATTGCTATTGTACATTCAGGTATGTGTTTTTATTTATGTAAAGAAGTTAATGAATCCTGCTGAACCAGTCATCTGTGTGTGCTTTCTGGATCTGAATTTCTGCTGCAAACTCTAACTTGACAGTTACGCAATTTCAAGATCCCAAAGCACAAGGACTAAGAACCAAGGTAGGAAGGAGCAATTGGCTGAGTGCAGAGAGAGCCACTCTTTCAAAACAACAATGGAATATTCACTATAGCTCCGTCCCAGGTTTAATTTGTGTGTCAGAAAGACTTCATCCAGAATTGAATCTAGCAACCAGATCCCACTCAGTGGAATTGGACTGAGATCACCTTCTACCAAGCCTGTTCATTGATCTCTTCTCTTTTTGGCTCTCTTCTTTCTTTCTCTTAGAAAATTGTCCACAATGAATGCTCAGCCAGTGGTGGTCACTCAACCACAGATGATGGTAACGGTCCAGACCAACAGAGACTATTGGCTAACGGACTTATGTGACTGCTGTAGCGACTGTGGAGTCTGTAAGTGTCCAGGCCAATTACCAAAAGTGGGGTTCTCAAAGCCTTCTTGGGAAGATTGGGCTGAATATCCTTCCAGACTGGATAGGTTGCAGAAATCAATTGTTCCTTATAATTTGAGCAATAGATGTTTGATTATTGAACAGCCTATTGGATTGGAATTAGGATGGCAAGATATAAAAGGAGACAATGTGGCTTCTATACTATTAAAAGTTGTGTGTGGAACTTTAAGGTTCTACATGAAGGAGATGAGCAGGCTGCGGCCGAGGGTGGGGTCAAACACACCATCAGCTTGGAGTCCCTAATGCTCCCACAGGAGATCTAAATCAGCCTCCCCCACCAATGCATTCTGTTGACTCTTAGCGCCACCATTAGTAGATCTGATTTTTGTATAAAGCATGAGGTAAACTCTATTCTGGCACCTGGTTTCTTGCGCCTGATGCTATACAGCTGAAGAATTATGCTAAAAGTTTTTTTTTTTTTAAAGAAAAGAATATGACGTTCTCCAGAGGTTTTGAATTTTAATTTTCATAAACTTCCTGTTTTTGGAGCTTGGTTGTTTTTTTGCACATGTTTCATTACCTGAAGAAGGTAGGGAATATCATCAGTGCAAGGACAGCATCCATGCTAGCACTAAAGCTTTAATTACTTGGGTAAAGAATCATTTGCAAGAAAACAACCAAGTTCAGAGAACATCAAGGAAACAACAGCTCAAATCTGAGTTATAAATATTCTCTTCCATTGGTAATTGTCAGGCACAATCAATCAGATCCATCTGAAGAGAATTCAATTAGCTATTTTATTACTCAAGCCTATAACATAGGAATCTTCTCGGATTGACAGTCTGCACCTGGGTCAGACTAGATAAGGTTAAACAGCATTCAAGGAAGATCAGACTTCACTCATGGATTCCAGACTAGTTCCCTGTTTGATTCCTCTCCCTGGCTCAGCCAGACTCTTTCCAACAGTAATTTCCATGATTCTATTTCATAATATTTCAGAACATCAGTATACAGAGAAGTGGGGTGGAGTGTGCTTTTTTTTTAATGTGGTTTGTAAATGAGTTTTTTCAGCCCATCCCTCTGCTAGATGTTTTAACTAGCATTTTCACTTGCAGTTTTGATGTTGCAGTAATTGTATAATTTGCACTTTCTGGGCCATAAATCTTATGTCATTCAACACGGTGTCAAGATCTTTCTTCGAGGGCTTTTTCTTTCTCTCTATAGGTTTCTGTGGACTGTTCTGCTTCCCTTGTTTGGGATGCCAAGTTGCTTCAGCTATGAATGAATGTTGTTGCTGTGGCCCAACTGTGACTATGAGAGCTGTCTACAGGACAAAATACAATATCCCTGTAAGTAGATTACCTTGCTTAGATGAGAGAAACTTCAGGTTTATAAACTCTAGTTAAAACCAACAAATCTTAAGTACTTGTGAAATTGGAGAGAAATATCAACTGAGAAACCAACTAGGGCAATCAACTTGCTGTGGGATAACTTATCATGGCCAATTCATCATGGGATAACTTGCCAAGGGAAAATTCAACAACTCAATCTAACTATGTAAAATAGGTTAACTGTTGTTTTATTTTTTGTCATTCACATTTCACTTTGTCTCTCCTTTGGCATCCTTTCTTCAGTGATTCTGTTCCATCATTTCTTCGGTATTAGTGAAATTCTCATTGCTTGGCAAGTTGTCCTATGGTGAGTTGTCCAACAGTGAGTTGGTCATGGAGAGTTGGATGTGGTGAGCTGCCCTCGACCCACTCAAAAAGATGCTGCATGCACAATCCAGGAATTTGTGGCCAAAAGGAAAAAATGACTTGGGAAGTGAACAGATAATTCTTTCATTTGCTATCTGCAGCAGACCATAATCTTTCAGACTTATAAGAATGAAAATAAAAATGACACTTGTTCCATGCCAAACATAATATCACATCTTCCTGCCCCACAAGGATGGGATGACAGAATATGTCTCAAGTCCCATCCGTTAGGGATTGTCATCTGTGGGAACATAAGAAAGTGCCCCACTTCCGGGCTGCTTTTCTGAAAGGCCCTAAAAACAGGATTTTGTCAGCCTGAGGACCAGAAATAAGAAATGGCAAAATATAGGCAGTCCTTGACTTACAACAATTCATTCAGTGACTATTCAGAGTTACAATGGCACTGAAAATGTGACTTAACGGTCGTCTTTCACAATTACGACCTTTGCAGTATCCCCATATTTCATGTGATCAAAATTCAGACGCCTGGCAACTGGCTCATGTGTTTAATTTGTGTAGTTGCTGCCACTGGCGGTGGGTGAAGTGGATTTTTAAAAACAAGTTTTTGTAATATAATGGATTTCTGTTGTTAAGTGGGACATTAGTTAAGTGAGTTTTGCCCAATTTTACAACATTTCTTGCCATAAGTGGTTAAATTAATCACTGCAGTTGTTAAGTTAGTGATGCTGTTGTTAAGTGAATCTGGCTTCCCCTTTGACTTTGGTTGTCAGAAGGTCACAAAAGGGGATCATATGATTCCAGGACACAGCAACCATCCAAAATATGAACCAGTTGCCAAGCGTCTGAAATTTGATCACATAAAATATGGGGATATTGCAAAGGTCGTGATTGTGAAAAACGACTGTAAGTCACATTTTTCAATGCCATTGATCACTAAACAAAGTCAAGGACTGCATGTATTTTGCCATCCAACACAGATTTTTTCATGATTCCATATCTGAAGATTATGGATTAATTTGGTTTCTTTTCTTTTCAACAGGGATCCATCTGTCAGGATATCTGCATTGTGGGGTGTTGCCCCATTTGTTCTCTCTGCCAAATCCAGAGAGATATCAAAAAAAGGAAAGAATTAGGGGTATTCCAGAGGACTTCATCCTAAGCTCCTTTACATTTGTCCTTTTTCATTAGAATTCTGAGAAGTAAGATGTAGTAGTTTGTAGGAAGTACCATTATTTAGAGGCACCCTTGCTTTATTCTTAACCCAGAAATTACATTTTAGCACTGATTCAGAGCTCAAAATCCAGTCACACAAAAACCTATTGTTGTTTGTCCTGCCTTTGCTTGATCTCCCTATTTCATTTAAAATGGAAAACAAAGTAGGTTGGTTGCTGATGTTGTTAAACAGTTTGGAATTTAAAAAAAACACCCTGCTAAACCTTTGAAGATTTATTGGTTTGCAGGATGTAGTACCTGGAGAAAAAAAATTGTAATCGAGAGCCATGACCCATACCTAGCCGACATGGAAGTGTTTGCTCTCCAGATGTGAGGGACTAGAATTATTATGATTACCAACCACCACAGCTTTGAATTAAAGGAGATATAAAACAACATGTATGGAGAGCGCCATCTTAAGAAAAACTAGTGTACATGATTGTTTAGCTACTAAACTATGTTGTTCTTATTCTCCTACTGTAGCTAATGGTGTGGAAAACTGGCAGCCAGGCTGGAGGGAGGAATCAAGTGAGGGCCTAGCTTGGAGTCCTTAAGCAGCCTTAAGCACATAAGCTTCACCTCTCCCAAGATCCATGAAGCCTTATCCAGTTATTCACACGGGAAAACAAGCTGTCTGGTGAGATTCTTGTAACATAGGAGATAGGCAATAAAGTTACTGACTTTCATTATTCATGAATGGCTCTGGTTGGTTACACCTGACAGCTGGTAGTCTCTGTCCCTTTCCTTACGATGGAGTTTCATATCTCATAGTAAAATTAAAGACATTTTACTTGAAATTCTTCTCAGGATGATGTTTTCTAGACCCTTGCCTGGCTGGGGAATTCTGGGAGTTGAAGTCCTCCAGGCTTAAAATTGCCAAGGTTGGTGAGCCCGGTCTAGACAGCCATTTATCAACATCAGAACACTGAAGGGGTAGGTGGCTGTTAGAATTGTACACTTCCTGAGGTATCCTCCAAAAACAGATATGAACATAGAGTTGCAGGGCCTTTATGTGCCTAATAAAATCACCACCCGTACTGAAGAAATAGAGGCCTGCTCGTTTACATTGTTTCTGTTCTTTTTAAAAAAACTATTTTAGTACCTTCATATGCACTCTGAAACTCACAATAGTAAAAGTTATGTGGGCAAAAGTATAAAACATATCCCAGAAAGTTTTGTTGACTACTACTTCTCAGATCTGTTTAGTATTTAGCATTTAACCAACATCATACTGTACTCACCTATGCCTTGTAACCTGTTACATAAAGCAGCTTAAAAACGAGGGACAAAAGTAAATTATCCAATAAAGTGATTTCAGCAGCCTTAAATATAATAATTTGAATGCTTTCCCTGTTTAGCAACTTGGATGCTTTAGAACTCTGCCTATTTCAGAAATACATGGGCCAGAGCCATGTGTGAGAATAACTGATTCATACTTTATATCAGAGGTCTCATTGCAATTAATTTCAAAGAAAGGAAGTCTGGAAAATATTACAGTTTGCTCGATTATATTGAATATGCCATTCTGTATGGAGAAGTTACTTAGAAAATTTAATAAAAATAGTCTTGCCTAAGATTAGTTTTTATGTCCTTTTTTTGCCAAGGTTGTTAAGTGAATCACTCCGGCTGTTAAGTGAATCAGGCTGTAAATTTGCTTCCCCCATTTGACTTTGCTTGTTGAAAGCCAGCTAAGATGGTCGGAAATGGTGATCAAATGATCAGAATCAGAATAGAGCTGAAAGTGACCTTGCAAATCTTCTAGTCCAGTGGTTCCCAAAGTGGGTGGTACCGCCCCCTGGGGGTGGTGGGATGCCTTGTGGGTGGCGGCTGCCCACCTAGTCACATGATCACCAAGCCACAACCATCCGGTCACGTGACCACCAACCCACGCCCACAAATTAGGCCACACCCACAGAACTAGTTGTTAAGAAATTTGAATCCCACCCCTGGATAGGGGGCACTGAGGATGAGTTTGTAGCACCAAGGGGGCGGTGGACTGAAAAAGTTTGGGAACCACTGTTCTAGTCCATCCTCCTTTTCAAGCAGGAGATTCTATACCAGTGATGGCGAACCTTTCTGTTGTGGTGTGCAGAAAGCGCGTGCGTGCTGGCACCCACAATGCAATGCGCCCCGCCCCCTGCGCATGCGTACGAAACACCCACTCCCTTACCTGCACTGCACATGTGCGTGCAGTGGGCCCGTTTTTCAGCCTCCAAAGGTTGCAGAGGCTTCCCTTGAGCCCCCGGGAGGGTGAAAACAGCCTCCCCCAGGCTCCAGAGGCCCTCTGGAGACTGAAAACTGGCACTTCTGGTATTTCCGGAAGGCCCGTTTTTCGGCCTCCCGAGACTGCAGAGGCTTCCCTTGAGCCTCTGGGAGGCCTCAAATGATCCACTGGTATGGACTTTCTATCTGAGGCACTGGTGCTACCAAACCAAACAGTCCCTTGACTCCTTCTCTTGTCTCCCCACTGGCTGGATAACACAAAGTTTACAGTCTATTCGAGGCACCTAATAAACCCACGTGAATCTCTGCCCCATTTACATCTCCCACTACCATGCTTTAAGCACCCCTAACCCTTATTTATTTATTCCATTTTTATAGTGTAGTCCCCTGGTTAACTTTTGCAACTGTAACAACCCTTGACTGCAAGTCTAGCTTCAGCTGAGACTCACTGCTATCTATTTGCCTAGACGTAAGAAGCTAAGATTTGTAGGTAGTATTTTTTTGCAATGTATGCTTTCCCATAAGTCCTTGTGGTTAAACTATGCATCTTTGGAGCTGCAGATGTTTCCTGTTACTTAAGATTTGCATTTTTCTGCTGCTCTTGGTCATGCGCATGCTTGGTGCAAAAACAACACTTTACTATTTCCCACACTTTCAACATTCGCCCTCAAGATTTTTGTGCTACGGATAACAGCTGTCAGCCATCAACAGGGCAGTGGCACACAGCAGCCCTGTGTGACAGGTTTAACAATTGTGGAGTCTGTGCAGGGTAGCTAATATCTCTAGGTTTTGAGTCTCAGTCGGTTGATCAAAGATGGCACCTATTGCCTTCAAATCCAGTTTGGTCTAATTGTGGACAGCTTCTTTTTTTTTAGACCGCTGGTGTTTGCAAAAAAATGTGAGGTACAACTTGAAGACATCTGGTAGTTGAGAGGTACCTTTCATTATAAACAGCTTACACTCACTGAAACTCAGCTCCCTTTCTGTCCAAGTGTGTTACACTCTATACCAGAGGTCTTCAAACTTGGCAACTTTAAGACTTGTGGACTTCAACTCCCAGAAGAAACAGACATGGCTGGCTGGAGAATTCTGGGAGTTGAAGTCCACAGGTCTTAAAGTTGGCAAGTTTGGGGATCCCTGCTCTATATTGTAATAATGGAAAGTGACCGAGTTTAATTTGAATTTTTTACTTTCAGTGGTTAAGACATCCAATAGTGGGAAGTCCCCCTCCTGCCCAGAGAATGAAATATTTTTAAGTAAGAGGCAGAATATTATATTTCCACAAAGGACAAATGGAGAAACTTGCTCTTAAAGGTAGAAAGCAGCCCCAATCCTTCTTAATGTGCCTATTCACAAACAAAACAACTTCACCTCCAGATGATGGATTAAGGACAGGACATAACCTTAACTCTATTCATTGACAAAGTGGAAACAATACCAATAAGTCCATTAAGAAAGATAGGCTAGAAGCAATAGATAACAGGATAAAATCATATATCTGACAGGATTAGGTTCAGGAAGCTGACAATTAAGACCCACCTCCAGCATTTGCAAAACAAGTAAAGCAAAGCAAAGATTAAAAGCATACAAAGCAAACCTCAAAATTGCAAAATACTGTATAAAAATCCTTGCACTCACCAGGCTAATTTGTCAGCTGTCCCAGAACTGCCTGCTGTGTGTGTGTGTGTGTTGATTCTGCTCATCAATAAACAGAGACCTTTGAAGAAAGTTAACACCCATCCCTCTTAGAAGAATGAAATATTTTAGGAAATATTAAAAAGCCAGAATGTTATAGTTTCCCTAAAGGAGAAACAAACATGTTTTTAAAGACAGAAACTCAGAGCCTCAGCTCTGCCCCAAGTAGCAACTAAGGGGCCAACTTTTAGAAATGCAGATTTAGTAATTCATTCAAGACTGGATGAAAACTCCAAGGAAGGCAGCATCTACGATTAATTACATTTGTTGAACAAGATTTAAAAAAAACCCAACTCAATGCCTGTCTTTATGAGACAAACCAATTAAAATCAAATGATAAAATACACAAAACGAGCCTCTAAATTACAAAATGCTGTAGAACAAACTGTATAAAAATCCATGTGCTCATCAAAACAAGTGGTCAGTTACCCAGAGTCAAATGTGCTTGGTGGTTGTGCCTCACCATTAAACCATCCTTCCAAGCAGCCTCCATGTTTCCAGTGTCTTTCTCCCCACTTGGAACTGAACCCAGAATGGACATTTCTTCTAACGTTTTCTTTCTCAAGCAGCCTCTATTTTATTCCCTGCTTGCACCTGGACTTGGATTTTTCTTCCAACACCTTGAATGTGACCCTGTGGTTGGTTTGTGATTTTTCTGTTTAGTTCTGCATTTGATGTTCTGCAAAGATATTATGACCGATAATTACAGTAAAGTGGAGTCTCTAAAGTTATTGCTCTGATTTAAACAAAGATGGTTTGTACCTGGGATATATGCACTTATTTCCATAGACAGGTTGGCGGGAGCCTCAGTTGGATTCTGTTTTCCCAGTGCAAAAGGGGCAGCAAATCACACTGGAACAAGGAAAACAACTCCCCTCCCCCCTCAGCTGTATAATTCTGCAGAAATAGAAAACCTCGTGCTTGGGACAGAGGCCGACATCAAGATCTGAGTAAAAATTACCTGAGATATTTATATAAAAAGTTTCTTCGCTATTTACAACATGTCAGTCTCAGTGATTTCTTTCACTAGGTTTGTAACAGATAACAGATAATCAGAGTTGGAAGCTACCTTGTAGGTCATCTGGTTTGTGTTCACGTTTGGTTGCTTGCATTTGTCATTTGTCAAGATTATATTTAGTACAAGATTACGCACAGCGAAACCTTCCTAAATCTCATTGTCAGAGATTTCCTGCTGTGTACTTGTGATCGGTTTGTCTGTTTCAGAAGAAAGCCAGAACAGAGAAAATATAGGCAATCTGGGCAGAAATGTAATCAGTTCTAACT